TCAGTCAATTTAATGCAATTGTCAAGCAAAGCTAATTGAAGGTTCTAATGTCTGTAATTCCTAAAACCGTCTGTGTTTATGATTATACCTATTAAAAATATGTAGTGCAGCAGGAAGAAGCTAATTGCATGGAAATTGTTGAATTAACTGTCATGAAAAAGCCACTCAGGTGTACTAATAAGAGAACAGGGGTGTAAAATATAAAGCACACATACTTCACTTCTTATAAGGGCACCACAGACAAGCTATATATATTAGCTATAAAAAAAAGAAATATGATGGCCCTTATTCTGTGGGTCTATGTGATAAAAGTTCAGGATTGTGAGGGTCGTAACCTCCATGGAGCAGCCATGCAACCATCTTCCCTCCTGCACCTTCCTTAAATGAGAGGCAGCTTGAAAGTGTCCAGGCTCCATTACTGAGTTAATATTTCTGCTGCTATACTGTTTTAATGGCACATTAATCAGATTAATAGTAAGGAGGGGGAGCTTTCCTGTCAATCTCTCTAAGAACACAGAAGAGCAAAAAGAAGCCTCAGGGTGAACCATCAAAGCACTGATAAATCTGATTAAACCTCAAATGTATACCAAACAGACAGAAATGAAATGTCTATTTTTTCACAAAATAAGAAGGATAAAGAATGATTAAGATGTTGATGCTGGTGGAAGTGGAAGGAGCTATTGCTAATATTTACGACAAACTAGTGTATCCTTCTTCTATAAATATATTCACGCGTGTTTGTTCACCAAAAAGAAAAAGCATTAATTAAATGTATTATGTTGTCAGATTTCACATAGCTACATTAGGCTAGTTGAAAGCAATAATATTAAGTTTAAATAATAAATATTAGGTTTAACTTAATATTATTGCTTATAATAACCTGATACAGTTCTGTGAAATGTGTTGACATAATACATTCAATTTCAGTCACCATTTGAGTTTGTTCAGTGTTTCAGGGAATATAATGCTCCTAAAACCCGATGAATGCAACACTAGCCCTGTTTAAATGGGTCATTACATTAAACTATGTCTCATAATACGCATCCCACAGCTCCGCGGTGAGCGTACTGTACGCCCTGGGGCCGCCGACACAGAGAGGGAGGTCTAATGGTCTGCAGTATTAGTGGCTTAATTGCCATATCCTGGTCTCCATTGGATTGCGAGCAGGGCGTTTTAGTTTAATTGTGAACCATCCTGTCCTGTAACCCCCCCCCCCCCCCCCCCCCCCCCCCCCCTCCATTCACACCATGCTACCCTATGATGCTACCCGGCCCACCAGAAGTGCATGGTGGGAGTATTTAGTGTTGGAGATGGTCTGCATGATGCACTTGAGGAAGCTGACCCCCTTTGGACAAGGATGTTGGTAATATACTGCCACCTACTGTCACAATAAAAAAACTAAAACCCTGTATTATAAAAACGAAGCAATGGATTCCCAATCCCAACGCTCCCCCTAACCCTAACCCTAAACCACACTGAAAAATCTGACTTCAAATAAATATATGATGTCAACAGATTCCACATAACTGTATTAGGTTATTTGAAAGCAATAATATTAATATTTTTTATTTGTGTTAAAATATAATATTAAAGGTGGGTTAGGTAATTTTGGAGAAACCAGCTCGAGTGCGCTAGAATTTGAAAATACTCCAACACACACGAACGCGCACATGACCAATGAGGGCACGAGATAAGTTTGTGCCCAGATGGAAGGCTGACAGGCAGGTAGGTCATCCAGTTACTTTAGCCGGGCCGGCTAAAATGATTGGTCGTGCTTTTTACAGATGACATTTTTTTATGGATTTTTTGTCAAAGCACTTAAGATATTCATTGCTATCGGGATGTTAAGAGCATTCCATGGAATATAACAAAAAGTGTATCTCGAGCCGGTTTCTCAAACGTACCTACCCCACCTTTAACTTAATATTATTGGTTCCAACTAACTTAATACAGTGATGTGAAATATGTTGACATAATACATTTAATTAAAGTCAACGGTTCAGTTTTTTAAGTATAGCGCTAATAAAAGTCATTTTTAACATTTGTCAGTATTTCATTTGTATCTACATTTTTAGGAATGTTACTTTCCAATGGTTCCTGTTATTAAAACTATTCACTTTACAACACATATTCACAACATCATAGCCTAGGATGTTTTCTTTAGGACTGCATTAGCCTAAGCCCCCATCCGAAAGATCGCAACATCTGCAAGAAACAGCGTCTGAGGGCTTCTTAACATTTAAAAACCTATTAATGTGTCATACCCACTTAACGGGAAGAAACTCAGCTATCAGACAATATTAACCATTTTTAGCAAAACAAAACAAAAGGGTAATAACAAAGGCTCTGAATTAGCCCTGAGCGAAGAAATGCTAACACACTTAGCACAGAACTGACGTTAAAATACCCTTATTACTTATCGTATCTGTACAAACAAGATATCGAGTAGCAAGCTGAGATTGCACAGACTCGACAAGTATTAGTATCATTACTGACCGATCCAAACTCGCGACATGAGAAGCTAACAAAGACATCACACCACGTAGCATTAGGTAGCCAACACGGCAATATGTCTTACCTTTGTTGTTTTCTGATCAAAAGTTGTCTTCAATGGCATTAAAACTATAAAAACGCTGCTGAAGGTGAATCCATAGGTTAATCCAATGTGTCTGTGTCACTTTGAAATTATTTCTGATAATCCATCAGCAATAAACCTAGTTTTCAGTTTTCAGAGCGTAAGATTTGGGCAAACTGCGTGCGCATAGTTGTCATTCCTCAATGGTAACGTCTTTGTGTATGTGGAAATTCCCCTTCGATTCTATTGGCTCTAACAGTTCAAAAGAGATGTCAATCATCAAAATCGACCAATGGGTTCCAGAGAAACGGCAAATCCACCCAAATGACCCCAGAGGTGTTTTTTTTGTTAATAAACCTCTCTAAAAAGGTGCAATTTCACTTGTTTTGCATCAATCTTGATACAGGGTACTTATTATATGTTATAGTTTGGATTCCTAAAGCTTTTAGTCTACTAACCCATCATTCAAGGGTGGTTTTCACTATAAGTAATGGTTTATTTTTGGACGGACACTATCATTTACATTTTTTTACTATGTTCAATCTGAATTTACTTTAAAATAAAAAAAATCTATATTGATTCTGACTTTTCTACATCCAACTCACAGGTTTATCATTGCTTTGAGAACAACGATTATTGATTTACCCATTTTAGAAGGGAAGTTATTGTCATTTGTTCTGGGAATGTCCTTTTCGAGACCTGAACAACAGGCTTGGGGCTTAACAGGTTAGAAGCTATTTGTTGTTCAATGTATTTGATATTTCAGATTTTATTATTATTACCTGGTCTTACCCATTTCAAAAGTAAAGTGATGTGATATCTGTTCTTTTGTCGACACATTTTAAAGAAAAAGTTGTAATTTTGTATTCCTTATACTAGAACTGAATCATATCCAACCTTCATTAAATGGTTTGTAATTTGAATCTCAAACAACACACATAAAAAGGGTATAAACTACATCAGCTAAACCTTGGTGCAATCATTGTTTTATTTGTTATTATACCCCTTTTCAATTGCATTATTCCTCTCTGTGATAGCAAACATTGAGTCAGTGTGTTGGTGATTAACATGTGAACAAAGAGAACAGGCTGACACATGAGCAGATCCTCACTTGTGGTCCCTTTTCCTCAACCTTCACTGACTGCACGGGGACATTTACATTTTAATGGCTCAGGCTGCTTGGTGCCCCCTGCCTCAGAGTGAAAGCTCAGCTGAAAGCGCGGGTGACTGCTCCCAGAGACAGACCAGCTCCACACAAACACAAAAGCTGCAGAAACGAAAAGCTGGACTTGGTTGTAAACGATTTTGGCTGAACCTCATATAATAAATCGTTGTTTCAGATATAAAATAGCATAATTCATTACTAACCCTCCCTAACCCTAGTCCAACCAGGAAGCCTGTCTTTGCTAAAGAAAAGGTTGGCAGGTTGTCATTGTGACTACTGCCATAAATAAGGGAGGATGTGGATTATCACTTCTCTACATAACTATGACCTGCACTGTGTATCATTCTTAGATATTTTAACTTTAATCTTTAATAACATGGCAGCAATTCATAATTGTGCTCATGATCCTGCATCTAAAGCGAGATGTATAGAAATTCAAATCCAGAGGGGTTTTCTTTTAAATCTATAGACATCTTCTTGTGTCCTGCTACTGTGGATCTATGTTAACTGTAAACTCTGTCAACTTGGTGCTGTTATATCCATTTTCTTTTCCAAATTATTTTGTATTCTTTCATATTTAAAGGAAAATAAGGAGCTGCTGTTTCTCCTATGGGGCCCTGTTCTATTGTCTCACAGTGGCTGGAGTATCAAGTCTAAAACGTTTAAAATAGACTAACTTCAGTACAGTCTAAATGTGTTTGCCCAAACCATTTATGTTCCTTTCTTTTTGGTCCATGTCTCATTTAACTTTCAATTCTTTGTTTTTGTGAATTGGGTAAAAAAGTCAAGGGTTAGGGTTAAGGTCAGGCTTCTAAAAGTCTAAGGAGCGAATATAAATTTTGAAAAAATGTCAGGACTACAAAAATAAATAGAAAGTGAGTATTGTATACATTGTAAATTGAATGAGTAAGACAGTACAATCATAACAAAGGCATGATCAATAATCTGTACCTCATTCCTTACCTTGTCCTTCTTGTTATGCTGCCATCTAGGGGTAAATAGCTGTGTTGCAATGTGTCCTACCATATTAAAATGCAGGCTACAATAAAATGGCAGTAGTTAATAAATGTGCTCATGACCCTGCGTCGAAAGCCAGATGTATAGAAAATGGTATGTCAAACAAATATCTGGCAGATGATTAATCATTATTTCCACTTTTTACATTCAGGTTTATTAATGACTGAGGTAAAGCTTGTTATAATCTGCCGAAAGTGTTGACCAATGAATAACACTCATAATTAACTCAATGAGTCCATGACAATACTTTAAACAACAATTTATTGTATTATTAATCAGGGCAATATAGATATTTGAAGGTAATCTGGTTCCTGGGTGTGGTTGCACCAGCTGTGATGCTGAAAGAAATACTTTTTAACGACATTAAAAACCCTGTTACATGGGGATCTATTTTGTGCACTGTACTTTATAGGTTGCAATGCAGGATTTAATCTGATGTTGCCTGCATCAGTAAGCCCGTCATTACTTTATGTTATCCCAACATTTGCCTTTATCTCCATAAATGCTGAGATGCAACCACATTTTGGAACACACACAAACGGACAAATTGCTACTTAACCTTTGAGGCAGACTTTACAGTTTGACATAAAACAAAGTAATGCATAGCTGACGTGAGAAATCCTCTGAGGCTGTCTGCAGTTGGAACAACACATCAGCTCGTATAGGGAAATATCCAGCATCATTTCCCCTTGTTTCTAGAAGTGACACTGCATGATGGAAAGGACCGAGCATAATGTGGAGTGCTAAGAATGTCAGGCCTACAAAATAACAGTTAAACAAAAGATATCAATTTTCTTACAAACATTTTCACACGTGATTTTCAGGTTATAGTCAGTCGTGAGGCACTCGTATTGGACAGGCAGTTTATTTACAAATAGCAGACCCATACACACGAAGAAAATAAAGTAATGATGTCAAATTTCCAAAGAATATGGATAATTGGATATTGGTTTTCAACAGATCTCAACAATCAACGCATTGTTGCCCCTCAGTCTCTAATTGTTACTGCATTAGGGCGTGAAAAAGTAATCAAAAAACATACAATCACCAACGGTCGTCACCTTTTTACTTTATAAAAATATCACCATGGTGGTTCACAGATTCACAGATTAGACCGTGGACAGAGAGACATATTTACAGTAATACACACGAAAGGGGAAAAATGGAAAAAAATCATTTTGGAACAAAAAGGTTGGCGGAGAAAATATGAGCAGTGCAGAGAGGGTCCCAAAAGGCAAAGCTTGAGCAATTCTTTCTTAAAGGTCTCTAAATGGACACCTTTATTCTTTTTCATTTGCCCTGTAAAGACCAGACAAATTAACAAGTTAAAAAGGAGACAGTTATATAGTTGTACACATTGTGATTAACATATCAAAACAAACGTATATTCTCTATTTGTAATCATGTCATTCTTATTTGACATACATGCCATGTGACTTGTGTACGTTTAGATAGAAACACAACTCTGAAGTGCTGGCTATTTTAAATAAAATAAATAATGTTTCAGAATTTTCTTACACATTTAATGAACTTAAATTATAAAACATACACAACAAATGAACTTGACAAAAACAGAAATTATGATATTGTTACAAGATATATTGCACGACCTGTTACACATCAGGATATATCTGATCCTGTTTTGACTATACTTTTTGCCAATTATAGCTTGTTTTTTCTAAATGTGTATGTCTGTTACGATTTTATTTGATCAGTTTAATAAACAAGATAATTACAAAACATATACCGGAAGTAAAGTGATGCTTTATACTTTTAAGTAGCGTGCACCATTCAATATTGTCCGTGACCATGGTTCCCATTTATTCAATTTAATTCTATGTTAAATGTCTCATCTGTTTGGAAGTATCTCATGCGGACAAGTTTTACATGTTCTTGTTAGTGTTTTATTTATGTAACCTTTATATAGGGAGACAACGGCTCCTTTGAGAAAGGTCTCAATTTGGATGGATCCCAGGTTAAATGTTATACATACAATATTTTAACAATTTCAAAGCGTATTATATCTAGAAAGCCAATATTTCTATGGATGGTAACCTTGTTCTTCAGAGCAAAGAATTCAATACATTTGGATATTTTTTTAAAAGTTTATAGTGCACAATTTATCATTTTCATAATAAAGAAAAAAAAACTGTGAATGCGGTATATGGACTGAAACCGTTGTATCTTTACACATGTGAAGTAGATGCCACAATCACACATATACAATTGTTATTGTTTCAAGATAACACAACATTATCTTTATTGAAATGTAGAATGACAGAGATGCAATGGGGGGAAAAAGTGGGGGAAATACAATTTAAAAAAAGTCAGATATATAATGTTAGAGTTTTCATTATTGTCAGAGTTATTAAACCCTTCAAATCTTTTATCCATTAGTCTTGGTATAAAAAACTGTTATTTTACTCAAAGGTCCCATGTCATGGCCATTTCTACTGATCATAATTCCATTGTTGAGGTATACTAAAATAGATTTATATTGTGCAATGTTCCAAAATCACGTTTCTCATACAGCATATCTGTATAGTATGTGTATTCTCTGTCCTAAATGGCTTGTTGGAGCTCCTGCCCCCCCCCCCCCCCCCCCCTCCCTATGAGCCCAGTGGCCATCTGCGAGACACAGCGAAACCCAGCCCGAACACACACCCGCAGCCTGGCTGGGAGTTTGTGTGTGTGCTCAGTGCTCATACACCGACTCACAGCCTCGCCGCGTCCCGCCGTGTCAGGGAGGAGAAATCGGCAGAGCTGCAGCTGAGAAAAGATTGAGTGTGTGAGGGACCAATCCACAGACTTAACGTAACGACTCTGCGGACGTAACGGCTCCACGGATTGGTCCATTTGGACCAATGGGTCCATTTGGGTATGGGCACGTCACTGTACCCAGGAAGAAACAAATGGAATAAGAGAAATCTCCAACGAGGCGTTCTGGGGCAGCATAGACAGGAGTTTTACTCGCTACAAGGTGTACTTTGAGGGTTTGTGACTTTGCAGACCGTTTACATGGATAAAAACCTTCATAACACACAAGGGGACGGGTAATAACCGGAAAAGCATGACATGGGACCTTTAAAAAGAGGCCACCTATCTCCGACTGCATTACATTCTTACCAAAAGAAAATGTGTAAATAACAGAGTGATTGGTTGATTTTGTGTACAAATGCCATTTGAAGCTCTGCTGTAAAACCACATCAGAATGTGTGGCATCACAAACGACATGATGGAAGGGTCGGATGACAGTGAGTGAGATGAGCTTTTAACATTAGAAGATCTCACCTCAAAGTTCTTCAGCAGTACGGCCAAATTGAACAAACTGGGTTTAGTATCTAGAATGAGACTGCCAGTGCTGAAGGAGCGTGGGAAAAACACAAGAGGACGCAATTGAGACCGCATATAAAAACAATAACAAAACCAAAGATAACTTACATCCATATTCACTTTTCCCATAATGTAGCACTTATAATAACCATCAAAAAGTAATACAATAATTAATTAAACATATGATAATAGTAACACATTTGAACGTTCTTGTTTTTAAAATAAAAAATAAAACATGTGTGCAGACTAACAAATGTACACACCTTTACAGCATGCAACATAAAACACTTTATATGACAGGGGTAGGATATGAAATGTGAATGATGCACTGCAACTTTACTATGTGGATGAAATATGGAAATCCAAGATCCAAAACAACAGAATGAGGTGACAAACGTGTTTACTGATGATGACAGGTGAGGTGGAGGGCGCCCTCTGCTGGTGAACCATGAGATGAGGACATGATGAGAGCCACAGGATCAGGACAGCACACTGGTGTTCTGTGAATCCACGTCTTGCATGCTCATGACATCTGTACTTACTCCGCTCTCATACACAGGGTTGTCGAAAGCTGACTCTTCGGTCATGTTGTTGTACGGCGGCAGGGATGTCGGCATTCTGATGGTCTTCCCTTGGATCCTGAGTAAAGAGTAAAGAGTAGAGAAGCAGGAACATCCTGTAAGAGCCCGGAAGAATTGACAATGAAATAAATGTTGTTAAAAGTTGCGACTTACTTTGCAAAGTAGACATAAATCCCGAGAACAACCACCAGGATGATTGCAGTCGGGATAAAAACTGCAAGGGCAATATTGGTTCCATCCATGCTGTAATCCATATTTACAACTAGAAAGAGGGGGGGGAAGACAATTAAAGGTATTATTTCATCTGTGAAATACGCACAAAACAAACATAATTATACTGCAATTTTGTATACGTAACTCACCATCTAGCCTGCGTTCATTCACAAATTCGGTTGAGGCTGCAACAAAGACACAAATGCAGTTTTTTCAGTATTTGCACCAAAATCACAGTGCGTTATATAACATGAAGAAATCCATCCTTGCATTCACAAACAACCACAAAAAAAGCTTGTATAGTAATATTTTTCCACAAATGAGACAGTTGTTAAATAATTTAACATTAGCTACCATGTGGTAGGACTGTCTGTTCTTTTACAAATATAATTCACTATTTTGATATATTGTGATATGTAAAGAAAATGTGAAAAAAGCCTGAGTGATGTTATCAGTCAAATTAATCTTTAAGTTGTTTATTCTTTGTTTTGTGTCTATTTTATGGAAAATGAATCACTCTGCAAATTGTATGTGTGGCGTTTGGGGGTGGAAGACAGAAACAGACGAAAATAATTGAAGAGGTGTTGGGTTCTTTTTTATACATCAGGGTTTCCCACACATAGACTATACTTGGGCGGGCCGCCCAGGTATATTAACGGCCGCCCAAGTATATTTCGCGACCCATTTAGTTTTTTTGTTTTTTTTTTATAACATTTTTTTTTATGTTTTTTTTTTTTTATTCGTCCGTGACCACGACGCCATCTGCGATCGATTAACTTGTAGACAATGATCCCTCGCTCCCTTGCTCTGATCTCGCCTCCTTCTGGCCTGTTAAGTGGCCTGCCTCACACAGGGTGACTGGCTGTCCACATGATGCCGACATGGCCACTGTCATACAGATCATAAATCAAAGCCCTTGATTGGTCTCTGTGTGTCATTCAAGCTCGGGATAACCTCAGCTCAGGTGAGGTAAAGGACTCTCTGAGTGTTTAGATAGTTAACTTAGTCTAAGTTCTCAGTGGGTCTCAAACGATGTGGTCACCATTTATGTAAACACATATTTCCATTTGAGAGGGTAGTGATTGGTCTAATGGAGAGTGAGGTGGGCTGAAGATCGGAAGGCTGTGAGTTCAAATCCCGCCAGGAACACCACCACTAGTGTGCCCTTGAGTAAGGCACTTAGCCCTTAGTTACTCCAGGGAGAATGTCCCTGTAATCGGTCATTATAAGTCGCTTTGGATAAAAGCGTCAGCTAAATGAAATGTAATGTGATTAGTAAAATATGCATGAATACATAAATAAAAAGTTAACTAGGTGAAAAAAGGTAAGATACACTTTTAAAACTTGTTGAGAGAAAACTAGTCTTTGCTGCTGCCTCAAAGAGGAGGGGGGGAGAGGAGGGAGAGGGGGGAGAGGAGGGAGAGGGAGGAGAGGAGGGAGACAGGAGAGGCTGATTCAGGAGCACAGACACACTCACAACTATAAATGAACCAAAAATTAATAAACAAGTTTCAGTGTTTTTTTCATATTGGAAATGGGATGTTGTTGGTTATGGCCTTGATTTTATGATTATTGAAATGTATACAGTTCTGTTAAATATAGGTGTTTCCATAGATCTAGTCTCTTTATTTTCCCCTCAAAATGCACCAGATTGATGCATTTAACTCCAAAATAAAAAATAAAATCTTACCGGGGGGGCATGCCCCTGGCCCCCCCCAGAGGATTTGAGGTCGACCCCCACTAAAAATCACATGGATAGGTTCCTAAATACATTAATAAATACATTTATTTTTTTAAATAGTAACCCATTTCCATATGTTCATGTGTGGGTAGTAGATTTAAACTATAGGGCTGTCACTACGGGCCCTGCCTGTACCTGTTCGCTCTGCCATCGCGTGAAGGGTCTGCTAACAAGCGACCAACAGAAATGTTAATGTTGTTGCACGTCACCTCAACCCCCCCCGCTACCACCACCCCCCAAAGTATATTTCAGCCTTTCATGAAATCCCAGAAGGATGAAGTGCTCTGACAAACAGTGCCATCTTTGCGCAAAATGATTATACCGGAATGAAAAGTCAATAAATAATGTTGTTAAAACTTTTCTTTTTTTTCGCGCACCACCCTTCCCCCCCCCCCCCCCTCCTTGCCACCACCCGCCCAAGTATATTTAATATCTGTGGGAAACACTGTACATGTATTATTAACAAGATGTCGTTTTTTTTTACATCGCAGTTATCTTCAATAAGTGAGTGCAGGGTTTACCTCTGCAGGCAGGGGGGGTGCTGTTCCACTGTGACGGGTGTCCGGGGATGCAGTAGATGGAGCCATGGCCCTGCAGCTCGTAACCCGAGTGGCAGGAGAAGCTCAGCGTCTCTCCTGCTTGGTAGAAGGCCTTCTCAGAGCTCTGCTCACTGGTGGAGGCGGCGCCGGGGTTCCTGCACGGCTCGTACTTCTCAGCTGAGAGGATGAAATGTCATGTTGTAAAAACATTGTTATGCACCTTTTTCAACAGTACAAACACTGACGAAATCAACCGAGACATAAAAGTGCAAGATAGTTTGTACTCTACGCATGTCAGAATACTTTTGTGCTTTTTCTTTTTTTGTCTTTAAAAATTGTATCAGTAATCAAACCTGCCTATTATTACAGAAGTGCACAAGGATTTAAGAATCCTTGTTGCATTTTTTAAAAAGGTCTCATATTAAGAAAACCAGTATAATCCAATTAATTGTTGTTTGAAGTGATCAAATTCTTTACTTAAAAAAATTATAATTCATGTTTAGGACTTTCTTTCCTAATCATTTTGTACCTCAAACAGTTGTTTTATTTTTTAGAGATGCAGTATATTGAAAGTTAATCATATGTTATCAATGTAAAATCTTAATCTAAGCAAAAAAGTAAATAGTAAATAGTAAAAATACATTATTTCCCTTTGTTATATTTCACACAGGCTCCGCCCTCTACTGGACTCTATGGGTACTACCCTTAACCATGCTATGCGAGCATTCACATACTGAGTTGCATAAACGAAGCCGGCTAATCAGGGCGAGCCTACCTGAATGCACGCGCAGGCACACAGTATGTAATGCGGCCACGCCTCCTGATCCTGTTATCATTTTTCTCTTCAGCGAGCGAGCAACAACTGATGCAGAGAAAGCAAAACACGTTTGAAAGAAGAAGAAATAAGTTATCATATCTTCATGGAGTCGCCACTTCTAGAGACCCAGGCCAGACCTTCGTGCCCTGGCTTAATAGCGGGCGCCGATCCCCAACACCTCTGCTTCGAGTGTTTGGGGTACCAGAATATGGCAGAGGCGGTGCCATTCACGTTCGCCATTCCAGCGGGGCGGATGGCTCCGTTTGCCCGGGAGGATGCACTTTTCGTTGTCGGGCACTTCCGGAGCGTGGCAGCCCATCTGCTCCCAGCAGGCAGCAGGCTGGGCAGAGAACCTCTGCCCCGCTGCCGCATGACAGGGCGGCTGCAAATGAACACGGGTGTGTTGGGCGTCTCGCCCCCACCTCACCGGATCAGATCGATTATTTGGCCGCAGCATCGGCCAAATTAATAGCTTGGTCTACGGCAGGGGTGCCCAACCTTTTTTGAACCGAGAGCTACTTTTAAAGTTGCCAGTCTGCCGAGATCTACCAGTCCAAATAGAGAGGCGTAGTTACTGACAGCCTACCAGGTAAATACACACTTCTACTTGTATAAAACTGACCTTTGTACAATTAATACTTCATAACATACTGCAGATTCTTTATCTTACCTCTTTCTAATCTACACACATACAAGTATTTAACTGAAGTTACACAACAGTATTGTTGATGCAGAGTTGGAGTTTATTCACACGTCACATACTACAGTGGGTAATGTTTTCAAGAAACATTGAACAGTGCTGCCACATATGACACAGGAAAAACAGAAAAGACTCTGAACCCTTTCTTTGTCATTATATAAAAATAGTGTTGCTACAAAAGTATAAATGAGGCTTACTAATAAGACAACTCAGATCTGAAGCTACTCAGGAATCTGCTGCCAAAGTGCAATAAAAAAGACAAAATTAATAGAATCAAACCCTTTTTTTGTTGCATTTTAGTAGATTATAAAAATAAATGCCTTTTTTAAAATAGGATGCAAGCAACACTAGTTTCTTAACCTGAATTGATAGACTATAATCAATTTAAGTTTGCATTCTTATACCATTTTGTACAATAATTATAATGAATAAGTTCAAACAAACTAAAACTAACAGCTGATTAATAATGGTATCTAACTTGAGTTTTTATTATATCAAAAACCTGTTGAAATGCTACTGTTATTTTGACTGTCCCCAAAAAGCGCGTCGGCAGCCTCCAGGAAAGCTTCTTTCACAACTTCGCCGTCTTTGAAAGACTTCATGTGTTTCGCAAGAACGTGACTGACACGATAAGGTGCTCTGGTAGCAGCCTTGCTCTTGTTGTTGGGCCTGGTGAAAATGGACTGCTGTGCATTTAGCTGTCCTTTCAGGCCCCTCCCCTTTTGGGAGCGTAGGGCAGAATCCGGAGGGAATTCCGTCTCGTAGCGTTTGTGCACTGTCTTGAAATGCCGCTCCTAAATGACCCTTCTTCGATAAAGCCACGCTCGCATTGCAGATAAGACAGATGGACTTTGAATTGGAATAGATACAAAAATAATCATCTTCCCACTCGGAGTGAAAATTATATATTTTGGGCTTTTTTGCTTCTGCCATAATTGCGGTCTTGTGTGTGTGCGGACTGTCACTCCTGTTGAGTGTTGACACGGACAATGTCAGCTAAATAGTGCCCACTGCCCACCAGCCACGCCCCGACACATGGGGTCACGCCGGCCAATCACAAAGCTTTGATGCGTTCAAGTGCATTATTCTGGCACAGGAAAATTATGTTATACGACATTAACGATAAAACAGAATATTGTTGTTCTATTTTTAGACACATCTCGCGATCGACTGGTTGGGCACCCCTGGCCTACGGTGTGGCCGCCGCTGCTTGCTGTGTGATGTCCCTGGGGGATCACGCCGCATGGCACTTTCCAAAAAAAGGCTGTGATGATCTCCTGGGAGCCCCCAGGTCTGCGGAAGGGCTCTTTGGATCAATTTTCTTGGTCACGTGGGTGAGGAGTAGTCACAGCTTGGCGTATGATGCTTCTTGCTCATCCTCAGAAGGCAGAACATTGTCCCACACTAGCCGCCCGGCTGTAACTCCAGTAAAGGTAGCAGCAGGCGGGCGCGCACACGCACGTGAGGAATAAACTGCAGAAAGTGCTGTCAAAGCACTGTGCGGGTTCAAGAGACGATATTGCCGGCGTGCTGTTGTCAGAAAACACACCTTGCCTGGTATAATAGCTCAGATTAATGCGTTTCACCATTGAATGTGAAAACACAGCGTTAATACGAAGGCGCGGGGCCCCGTGAGAGTGGCCGCGGTGCGTTCAACGACCTCCGTAGAGAACGGTGGGTTACGTATTGTAACATGTGTAACATGTCATGGCCAGGTCCAGGGAAGGGGCAAACACAGCCCAATTGATCCAAGTGGATTGTGGTCAATTGGAAGAAGAGCAGCCCCATACCTCACCAGCAGGTGCAGTATCTGGGGGTTCTGCTTGATGCAGGCAGACTACGGGCCACCCTGTCAGAGAGCAGACAGGCATCCCTGCTTCGGGCAGTTTGCAGACTGCGACAGGGGGCGACAGTGTCAGCTTTGACCATTATGCAGAGTTATGCGATTGCTGCATATGCGTCGACTGCAGAGGTGGTTTGCCGGTCTTCGTTTAGATCCAAAGAGGCACAAACGGCGTCTGGTGACCATCCCCCCTCAGTGGAGGGCAACCTCCGATACTTAGGGTCCCCAAAACATCTGCGGAGGGGAACTCCACTGCGGCGAGTGCCCTCCTACATGACGGTGTTCACGCCCAGTTCGGGAGAGCGGAGGTGGACCTGTTTGCCAACCGGCGCAACAGCCACTGTGCCCTGTGGTTTTCCATGGCTCTGGGGGACAATCCACCCTTGGGGGTGGACGCGTTTGCACACGAGCCATGGCCAAGAAAGCTGTTATACGCCTTTCCACCGCTGCGTCTCATTCTCCCCCTCCTGGAGAGGGTGAGACGGGAACATCTGTCAGTCATCCTAGTGTGGCCCCAGGTCGGCGTTTGGCGCCATGGTATGCAGAGGTGACACAGATGATGGTGGGCCAGCCTTGGGCGGTGCCTCAGGTCTGGGGAGCGCTGTCTCAGGAGGCAGGTGCAATGGGGGTGTTACCCACTCTGGGCCAACCTCTCCAGGCTTGGCTCCTGAGAGGGACAGGCTGAGACAGGGGGGATTGTCTGACGAGGTTATTCAGACTATCCAAGCAGCAAGAGCAGAATCCACCACAGCCTGTTACAGGCCAAAGTGGTTGGGATTCCAGCGATGGTGTGAAGAAAGGAGTCTAGAGCCTATGTCTTGTAAGCTGGGCTCTATTCTGTCCTACTTACAGTTACTGGTGGACAGGGGGCTTGCTTATTCCACAATTAAAGTGTATTCAGCAGCCATTTCATCCTGCCATGAGGGATTTGGTGGCAGGTCAGCCTTCAGTCAGCCGCTTATGGCGCGGTTTTTGCAGGGGGTCAGGAGACAGCGCCCAGTGGTGCACACCTCCTCCTTGCAGTGGGACCTGCCGTTGGTGCTCGAGGCTCTGGTCACAGAACCATTTGAGCCTCTGGAGCGCTCCTCCCTGAAGGCTCTGTCAATGAAAGCAGCTACGCTGCTTGCCTTGACTTCAGCCAAAAGAGTGTCCGAGCTGACCGCTCTGTCGGTACACCCGAGTTGCCTTTTGATCCGGGGTGACCGTAGCGGGGCGATACTCAGACCGAAACCCCTCCTTTGTTCCCAAAAACCTAGGGAGTTCCTTTCAGGTCAAGTGTTATACAGTTGAACGGCTTTAGTCTTCCACCCCATGTTATGTAGAGCGCATGGCTTCCATTAGGCGCACCGAACAGCTGTTTGTGTGCTTGGGGGGGGGGGGTAAAGCTCTGTCCAAGAAGCACCTGACAGGATGGCTCTGCGAGTGCATCTCATATGCCTACGGACAGGCGGAGAGGGCTTTCACGGGGTATGGCCGTGTCATCAGCCTTGTTCAACGAGTGTGGAGGACATATGCATGGCGACGTCTTGGTCTACAGGCCCCTTCATAAGGTCTTATCTCTTGGACATGTCTGACTCCTTCTCATCCTCGGTGCTTGCTGGGGCAACACACGACTGGTGAGAGAGGGGGGGGGCTATGGGTCAGTAGGTATCTGACCCCCCCCGGGACATAGTGCGCTTATTTTTTCCCATGCGCCTTAGGGACCCTGGAAACGTAGTATGCTGCAAACCCCATACAGGATTGGAGGACGCTCCTCGCCTTCCTCACTATTTTCCATGCACACTACACGAGGTAAGCGTGTGTGAGTGTGGGGACCAAAAGCCGGTCAGGGGCAGTGTGATGGGTCGATGTTGTTGAACGACAGGGCGTTTATCCATCAGGGCTCCGCCTGTGCTTATATAACCAGGGTTACAATATGTAACCCACCGTTATATTTCACACAGGCTCCACCCTTTACTGGACTCTATGGGTACAGTGGGTGGAGCCCTCTACCTAGGGGCCCTGTCTTTCCTATGCCGCTCGCTGAAGAGGGTGTAGGATAACAGGATCAGGAGGCGTCTTATATACTGTGTGCCTGCACGCGCATTCAGGTAGGCTCGCCCTGATTGGCCGGCTACGTTTATGCAACTCAGTATGTGAATGCTTGCATAGCATGGTTAAGGGTAGTACCCATAGAGTCCAGTAGAGGGCTCCACCTGTGCTTATATAACCAGGGTTACAATATGTAACCCACCGTTAAGTAGTTTAAAGTAGCATTAAATGGAAATACTAAACTAAAGTACTTCAAAATTGCACTTGCAGTACTTAAATGTATGTACTAACTGCCTTTTCCAATACTACATTGTTTAAATCATGTAGTCAAAGCCTGAAAGAAGCTGTGTGTTGAGTTATTTTGTGTCCATGTGTGTGTTCTGACTCATGGCTTACGGGTGCACTTGGGCAGCCTCTCGTTCCACTTGGGTGTGGCTGAGTCTCGGTTGTAGCAGGTGAGCAGGCTGCTGCCGGACAGGATGTAGCCTTTATTACAGACAAACTGCACTGTTGATCCAACAATGAAACGGTTCCCTGCTATCACCTTATGACTGTGCTCCACATTCCCTGGGTCCTGACACGTCAAAACTGGTGCAGCACAAACACAAAATACATAGATTATTAGTTGGCAGTTGTAGTAAAATAGAAAACATTTGTACTTTATGCCCACAAGATAATAAAGAACTGTTTATGATTTTAAAAGAGTAAACTGTTTTTTTTGCACTCTAATAACATTGTTATTCTCAAGACTGACAGTTCAAAAAATAATGTGAAATGTAATCAACACTTAAATCAGACTTTAGTTACACCTGGAGTAAATTCACAAGCTACCCTGCAGTATACAAAGTCATTAAAACTAGCTGTAACCTTACCAGCTTTGATAATGACCAATAATTATAAAACATATCATATATATTATTCTGAAGTGGACCATCTGCAGAAAAAGTACTTTTACTGTTGATACTTTAAGTAAATGTTGATGCTAATTGTTCTGTCATTCTAATGACTGACATCTATCTCCTTGACTGCTATATCCTTAGTGGCCTCTAGGGACAGGCAAGTGCGTTCCCAGTAAAACGTCTGTGTTAGGTTTCCGTTCTGCCATTTTGTTTGAGAGCCGCATGGGGAGCAGGTTCCTGTCTCTATCTGTCTCCATCTGGTTATTTTCAACCTTGAGAAGGCATAATCTGTGAGTACATTTGTTTAGGGAAACATTTTGTATAATGTGCTACTTATATTTTTGCATTTCATGTAACATTTATCTAAATTCAGCATATGTAGTTAAGCCATGTATGTAATTGCTGCATGAGTAGTAATTGTCCCTTATTGGATGTTGGAGTGCATTTGGTTTATTTTTGGGGAAAAGTACATCGTATTTTGTTGTGTTAGACATTTATACATGTCTTTGTTTGTATAATTTCAGTTTCACACCGCTCCTATTAAAATACCAAACGTCAGCTCCTGTCTCGGTCATTTTTGGGAGAGTGTTTAGCTCGCTGCATAGCCATGCATCTACATGCGTGGTGAGGGCAGAAGACTAATACGTTTGCACTTTTACTTGATTAACATTTAGAATGCAGGACTTTGACTTGTAACAGAGTATTCCTACACTCTGGTACTTCTACTTTTACTCATGTAAAATATCTAAGTACTTCTCCCACCTCTGGTTAGTAGCAGCTAATATAGCATCTAAACATTGGATACAATATGAAATGGGGAGTGGGCAAGCAGCAACCTTGGGTTTGAAAAACCTGAATTATTTCTAATGACCAGCAGGGTCAACCATCGTTGGTTGGAAAATAAGTCTGATTATATAGAGGTCTATGAACAAAATAATGCTACTCTTTACTTGATTTATTACCTCAGTACACATGTTCCTATTAAGCTCCAAGAATATCTGCTTATAGCAAAAAGACTATATATAGTCTTTTTGAAAGACTATAGAGGTTTAAAAATGGTTGCCAGGTGCCAACATTGGCCTAAACCAAAGAGACTAGTAAAGTAAATAGTTCAAATCTGTCATGGCTACTGGTATGAAAGGGATACTCCGGACAATATGTGCAGACCAGATTATCAGGATATTTTTATCCGAATTCATCTGAGAAAAATACTTATGATAACCAAACCAAAGGATTCTGGTGTTGTAAAACAACACCAGAATTTGCTCACTACTCTCCCAATGTGAACAAATGGAGAACAGTTTACCTTCCTGACATTTGGGCACATCTCCGCTCCATGTTAGGTCCCACTGGCACATGAGGATCTCCGAGCCTACCAGCTCAAACCCAGGGTAGCACTGGTAGGTGATGACGGTGCCATGGATGAGGTCAGGGTGGGACGTGCTCTTCCAGCCGTTGGTGATCTCCGGCAACTCGGAGCAGGTGTCGTTCCTCGCCACCTCTGTGGATGTTGTAGTAGATGTCAGAGGTGGGAAGTAGTGGAGTACAAAAACGTTGTCATTTTTCCGTTGTTCAGCATCAAAACATTCATTAGCTAACAATGACATTATTGTTCTATTAATATAAAGTGAGGTCAGTTACTCTTTAAAACAGTTGGTAGTTATGGGTACTTTTTACTTAAGTACATTTCGAAGCCCATACTACTTTACTTTTACTTGAGAAAATAAGTTTAGTCAGTGCTTTTACTTTTACCAGAGTATTTTTAAACACGAGTATCTGTACTTCTACTTGAGTAAAGGATGTGGGTACTTTTGCCATCTCTGGTAGATGTGTTGGTAGAAAAGATGCAAGAAAGAGTGGGAAATAGCTGATTACAGACATCTTTATGCAGACACAATGAGAAAAAAAACAATGGTACTGGGAAGATTTCTTTATGTATTACTTATTTCTTTAGTAAAAGGACAACTATTGAGGTTCCTTCGTGGAAATCCTAGCATTGATATACAAGAATGTCCTCTGCAGGGGAAGGGAATATAAATGTGAGACTGCCTGTGTGCACTATAAAGCAGCAGATGGAGAGGACAATGTAAATAGGGGCTTGTGATGTGTGCTTGGAGGAACACAGCATGTGGTTTGGCAGCAGTCAATCTGCGCCTCCCTAACTGCCGCATGCTGGGCTTAGAAAACAAGGCATAGCAAAACCAGCTGATGTTGAAGTGTACCCTATTATTTTCGTTCTGTGTTTGTTGTTGTCTCATCCTGTGCACCTTGGATAAGCCAGAAGACATCGGCAAATCAAAAGAAACACAGGAAAGAAAAAGGAACAAATCAAGAACATTTTATAATTTGTTACCTGCTGGGTAAGGAGAATTTCACATTTCACGTTTATTAGTACAATTTTTGTTGGTTTCTAGTGTCTCTTCTAATGGGAAAAGTACAATTAATGTCTATCATCATTTAATTGTAAGTTTAACTGCTTCGTACTTCATTAAACTGGAACAAAAAATCTAGTTATTTTTCTCAAAATAAATCCCAATTTGATCAAATATAAAGAAGAGCTGTTCTTACCAAAGAAGTGGACCACAAAGCCGTTATTGTAGCCATAGATGTTGGTGGCAGGGTCGGACTGAAATTGAATGGTGACATCCGCCATGGAGGTATAGAGCTTGAAGTGTGGCTTTGTACCGCTGTATTGTCCCAGGATGTTGGCTGTCAGGTCGTCTCCATCATAGAAGGTCAGCAGGTCATTCTTACCAATATGGAGACTGCAACAGACATCAGAAACGGGTTAATAAACATTTCATGTTCACAATGCATTCCTAAGTCCTTCATTCACATGTATTGCTTAGGTCTTTAACTTGTACAATGATAGTTCGTTATAGTGATGTTTAGACTGTATTGATGTGTATCTGATTAAGGATTATATTTTTACATTATAAGTGACCCAAATAAGAAGAACTAATAAATTCCTATTCGATGTGATCTGTGCTGATTTGTGCCAATAATATGAATGAAGCTATTGAAAAAAACAAGACTTCTAAAGATATTCATATAACGTGGAAAAAAACACCTAACTCCAATTAAATTAAATGTGTCTTACATGTCCAGCGTAGTACTAAAATGCTGTATTGATTTGGAGCCACTTAGTCATACAACATTGAAGCTATTGAAAACAAAACAAGACTTTTGGGTAGAGCTTTAACAGTTAGGTGACTGGTTACCATCTCAGTGTTGAAAGCAAAAGCGTTGTCAACAGGACTTGGGAAATATGAATTCTGTTTATGTTGGATGAATCTGATGTGAAGTAAACACTAAATAATGAATGATGTATTGCTCTTCGACCCCCCCCCCCACCCACATAGGTCTCATGAATATGTGCCAAATTGTAAATCTGCAATAATATTATCTTTTAATAATGGCACAATGCTAGCACTGCTTTTGAATTTATGAATCGCCTCCCACCCGCACAAACTCTCCATTTCTATTTGCTGTATGCGAATAAGTCACCAATCAAACTATTTTTAGTAAAGCAGTATTCTTTAAAAATGGTAACTAACCCCCAAGTGTATCTCTTTACAATTTGCACAATCTGGATTAACACAAATTCAAAGTGATTATGCCTGAAAATCACATTTCCCATTCTTTTTTCAGCTAGTACTGATCAGAAGCTTATTTACAAATGCTGTCTCCATAAATCTTTGTCATTGATAAACTTTAAAGGTCCTATCATGCTATTTTTAGGCAATAGTATAGGTCTCAGATATATACAAATATATAAAAAAACATGTCTATGAAGTGTTTTGCTCAAAATACCAAACAGATCACCCATTCTAGCCATGCCTCATATCCCTCTATTTCACTTCCTGTTTCAAAAGTGCTGATTTTATGTATAAAGCTTTAAAAAAAAAAAAAGATTTGATAAAAACGAGGGGCGGAGCTCATGCGGGAGATTCTACCGACTGACACTGCGGTGATGAAACGCCATATCATGGATTATCAAGGATTCTGTCTGAAACAGTATGGAGCTCAAAGGCTTTCTGTCTTGCCGGTTATACCACAAGGTGAGTTCCTTTTTATTTCCTGCTTCTTCACTTACATGCTCTCTCCAGTACAGCTTAGCTCTGAGTGTTAGCAATGCTACGGAGCCCTGGAGGGTTCATAGAGAGAAAATAAAATAAAACGAGGTCACGCTTTATTAATTTGTGCGCACGATATACTTTCTCGTTCGCACAAGATAGTTACCGGTGCGCCAAGTAGGAAGTGGAGCGCATAGAAATGGAGATTGAAGAGAGATCAAACTTTGTCAAGAAAGCCTTCAAACTAAACACTTAAAATAAGAAACAAAGGAGTACAAATCCTTTAGTAAGAAACATGCCTGCAAAGATTATTTACATCTAATCAATAGGTCAGAAGGAGAACATGCCAGAACCTCATGTAGTGAAATATTTAAGATTCAATGTAAACACGTGCGAGCATATGAACTGTATGACTGAGACGTCTGCAACTTAATACAATAATGTATTCTTATCACTGTATAATATCTCAAAAACTAATGGAACAAGCAACATGTTTTGAGTACTTGAAAACAAACCTAAATGCCTGTTTCTTTTGTCCTCTCAGTTAATGTATTGCTTGGTAATGAACACACAAAGAAACCAAAATACTTTCTTTTGAAATCAAATGTTACTCTCTATACCTGTATTCTTTGTGATACTACCCTCTGATTTTTCTGTTTTGTGTGTCGGTTCTAAAAACACATGGACATGTATTTTTGGCCTAATGAGTAACCTGTCTAAGAACTCTTTGTCTATGTTCATGTTGATTGTAGTGTGAGCGCACTGATCGCAAGCACCTGTCTGACTGGGTTTCTTATGTTTCCCTTCATTTTGTGCTGAATCACTGACAGGCGATAAAGGGCCTCCAGATTGAGGCTCCTTTCTTTTCTGGCAGATGGACTTTTAGAACCCATGAGACTAACCCAGAGAACATTGGAACTAACACAGTAGGAGCCTTTGACAGGGCCATTTGTTGTGGGATTGAAACAGTTTTATGTCAATGGAAGGAAACAAAAGACCTGAGTCTGTTTACCTCTCCTCAATCTCTTATTCACAACCTCCCCCACAATATTTCAACATTACTGCTGAGTAAAAACAAGCATGCAAGTAAAATGCATCCACTTTATCTTTAATCACCCAGACTGGGAACAAATCCTACCTTTTAACGTTTACTGTCGAAACCAACCAACAATGTATATGATTTGACAAACAACATGTAAATTCATGACCCACTAGATGAGGCTAAATATTTAAGACAAAAACATAACCAGACTGGCTGATCCACTGCCTGCCTGTTCAATGTGCTGGTACTGAAACAAAAATCAAAGCCAAAACTGAATTCCAGCTCCTGACAGACACATAGGAGATGCCAGCTAAATGAATGGCAGTGAAATGAGGTGCTGAGTGACAATACTCCCACTGGTTAGTTGGACGGCTATGGGCACAATTTACACCTCCAGGTTCTCCCAACAATCACCAAGTGTGTTATACATGACAGGTATAACATGCCAGTTTCCATTTCCAAATGGCCATGAAAACACTTTATGCTTATATGCAAAAATGGTCATAATAAAGCATGGGTAGTCCAGAAAGGAAGGCCACATTGTTTGCATTTTTAATTCTTATCATATTTTACACCTTAATTGTATTCAAGCTTTATCCTCGACCATCTGCTCATTTAAACAAGGCTTTTATCTATGTATTTTCTCTTATCTCCTCTAAAAGGCATCCCTGCATTTAGACTACCCTAGAAGTCAGGCAGTCTTAAACTGTTGTATTAACTGAACTATCTTCATTTAACTTCCCTTGTTGCTACATACCGTACATGTTCTCCAGAAACTTTTCAAGTGGATCTTCACTCCTCACGTAATTTATTCTATTTTGATTCACATTGGTGTATCTTATCAATGACACAATCTGTATTTTTTTACTTGTTGGACTACTCTGGTGTGGTCATGAGAGCTCAATAGCATTTATACTTAACAACAACCATTCACGAAAACACAAAGTGTTTTAGCATTTCGAAGCAAAGTACATTTTACAATAACTTCAAGAACTGATGACATTCTTTGAAGGGGTTAAAGTTCTCGGAGGAAAACACAGAGAACACCCAAAGTGGATGATACTGTTGAAGCGAACTGTCAATCAAAAGGTAGTCACGTCTTAAAGCATTCTCTGCCTGATCTTCAATTGTATTCTAATAGAACCATATTCATCAAAATGAACTTAGGTAATACATCAAGTGAGAAGTAGGGGTGGTTTTCTTATAGACTTTTATACAATTGGACTTATTTTTCCCTGTGTTGGATTTGAGAGAGAATGCAGGTTTACCACACATCTGCATTTGATTCACGTTTCAAACCCAGAGGTGGCCGTTTGGAAAAAATGTACTATAATGCAGTTCATTCCTATCTGACATCAACAACAAGAACTTTGATCTGATGTTGGACAAGATACGAGGCCAACTCAGCAGCCATTTCTAAAGACACCTGATAATAGTCAGCGGTATTGGCATATCACTTGCACACTTCACAATCTGTGACCTTCCCTCCTGTCTGGGTTCCTAAGCCTCCCCAATTGCTCTGACTTATCGACAGTGCTGCAGTCAACCTTGGTTTTAAATGTTCCCACTGACCCAATCCATCCGCTCCACTGACTGCTTGAAGTGCACTTGAAATGGTGACAACACAAAAGAATGCCAAAGTGCTTTCAGTCCAGACTGAGACAGCACTCTGAAACCCAAATGTCATCCCACCTGGCTTCCCTCCTCCAGACAGGAAAGCAGTCACTTCCTGTCCTCTGTTGCGAGCTGATAATCTACCAAATACATATTTTCACCCCTTTCTGTATGTGTTCCTTAGTTTATTTTCCATTTTGCAGTAGCATTAATGTTTATCACTCTGCTGTCAAGGTAATACAAAGTTTGACCACTTTAATACATTTGTATGATTTATTGGTTTGTTCTTGAAGATAAATAAATGGAAGTGTAGCTGTGGTGACAGTCACTCTTCTTGTAAAGGTTACAAATAAAAGCATTAACCCATCAGGCACTTTAAATCAGTATTGGCTATTGGCACAACCTTAACCCTAACCCTCAACTTTGTTATACCCCCCGCTGAATTAATTTGAGTCTTGTTTACTGAGCCCTTGAACTACTTGAAACTAAAGTGATGACAACATGGTGTGAGAGAGTATGACTTGCTTTTAACATGGTCAATGCAGCTGGAAAGGATTCATTGGGTCCATTTCAAAACAATTTCAAGGCAATACTTTAGAGTTGTCCTATACTATTAAATGTCTCCTTCATCGACGTGAAGTTCCAAGGGTTTTGAAAGAGGACTTTTAAAGAATTCCCGAAAAGCTCCTCTGCATACCAATGGCACCGTCTCGATTCTGCAGATGAGGGGATGACAGCTGTTTTTTTTACAAGCCTCTAGGCGTTTTGTCACCTTCACTGACCTGTCAAGTCAAGTCTGAAGAACCCGACAAATATCTAGTAACTCTAACAGAAAGGAAATTGCTTTTAATGTCACACTTTCGAAAGACAACTTTCTAAATCCATTCATATGGATTTGACATTTAATTTGTTCTGCTCTGTAAAAAAAAAAGGTTCTTTCTTAAAATGAAAAAGACCATTTATTTCCAAGGCACCTTATCCAGCACTAGTAGGGATTGCAATGGGGTGCAACGCTTAGAGTCTCAACAAGAGGGCACCATAAACCCAGTATGTCCAAATTAAAACGTCTCATGCTCAGTAAACTGACAACAACATTACCACGGTAAAACAGACTTTTCCCCACTGTGCTGAAATATGTTACACATTTCTAGATACAATACTCTGAATGCTAGAAATCCACATGTGAATGGTTAACCTTGTTGTATTCCACAGGTGGGGGATATCAGCTGTAACCTCTCGTCTCCCGCTCCGTGCTAATTAGCACAGAGCCAGCCCTCCTGTTTGGCCTAAATTAATTAATCAGTTCTCATTATGCACAGTGCTCCACTGTAATTGCCAGCACAAGCACAGTGATGAATGATAATACAGAAAACATTCTCATTAATGTGTAAAAGTGTGTGCCCACCCTTATAATGAGACAGCTCTCATCCACAAGAGCCTTTTGTCACATGTGTGCACACAAACACACAAACTATGTGTTGAACTAGCCTTTATGAATGCAGTTCTCAAGATGAGCAGACCAGACATGAGGGTAATGGGAGGGTCTGCGGGGACCACGCAAGCTGTGTGTTTCTACTGCCACGAAGGCCATGCATGACCAACCTTGAGATAAACCAGAGCCGGCCACCGCGTCATTAATTTGCAGCCAGCGGCCTCATGCGGCCTCATGCGGCTCAGGATTAAAACAAATATTAGGCTAGTGCAATTTAAAAAGAGATCCCTGAGTGAAAATCAGTTTACCTCAAATCAAACTTGTTTACTTCTGTATGAGGGGGGAACAAAATCCTTTTGACTTTCAACCAATTTTAATCATTGAGTCTTAATCTCAGAGTAAAGAACAGGGAGGCAAGCAGGGTCACACACAAACCCCTGTGTGGTATTTTGTTATTGTGTATTATTGTCATCCTTGGTATCCTCCTCACTTCCACCAAACATTCTTTGGAGTGTATTGAGGGTTTTTTACAAGACTTAATTTAGCCATATCTAGACAAATCTAAAGTATGCAATATAATGTTCTGTGCCTTATATATGTTGTCCAAATTCAAGTATTTGAATTTGTTTTATTAAGGAAAATGCTACCACGCATATACAGGAGTTATTTCCCGCTGATACTGGTCATGCACAATAATTGTTGTGAACTGTTTGCACTTTACTCTGATCTCTGTCGGATTGTGTGTTCACCACCAGAACAGGAATTATTCTCGTTTTCTTGTTTTTAAGTATGGTTTGTACAATACCACAACAAGCTGATACAGTACTTTGCCCTTATCAACTTGTGACCCCAGCACAAATTAGAATGTCCATCTGGTCCAATTATTAAAAATAATGATTAGCATAATTTGCTACATGCTCATGATTCATTTGTATGTATTTATTCATGTTTAAAAGAAAATAATTTTGGCTCCTGTCAACAAATAGATCTTAATTTTGTGTTCACTTAATTGGGAAACTTATATTAACGGTTTTCTTTTCCTGAAGAGAAACTAGGAAATTCTAAAAAATAAAAATAATATATATTGGGTTTTCTATTTCTACATGCTCTACCACTGTGGATTAAAATCGATATGCTCAGCATCGAAACCTGATGGCATGACTAAACCTTTCAAATCATAATGAAAGAATACATAAATAGAGGAATTAAGAAATTGTACACATAACCATTGTGTGCTTGCATTGATGACCACCATGACCTCTGAGATTTATCAGTGACTCTATTTTTCTCTGAACTCAGGCAGTATTATTTCCCGCTGGTTTAATTTGAACCTCTCTGCTCTTGTGTGCAAGTGCTTCAGGCATAAACACGAATCACTTAAACTGTGCTATACGGTAGGCATGCTGGAGTAAATATTGTGGAGAATCGCAAACGGATGAATCCACATAAGATAATATGCACAAATAGTTTTGCTTTTAAAGAGACATTTATAATATAATGTGTTTACTTAAGAGCAATTACTCGGATGACAAAGTATATGAAGGGACATTTATGTCAAGTAAGAGTGATGGATGGAGGAGAAACAAGTTTTCCTGTGCCTATATTTTGACATCTGTGCGCATGCGTGTTGAATGTGTGTTGAATTGCAGTTGGGAGGGCTGTATAAGTGGCTCAGAGTAGTTCACTGCCAGAGCATATTTATTTCAAAGCCAACTCTGAGACACACACCAGGGAAGTGGGAGCAGGGAGGCTTACTAGCTAATCTGGTCAGAGAGCGGGCTGGAAGCTACACAGAATTCTTAATGTAGCGGAGGAAAAAAATGAAATCTAATTAGTGACTGCAGACACAGAAACACTTTCCCATTACGTGTTGTAATATGTGCCTCTGCGAGTGAAATAAAAGATGAGAAAAAAAGCAAGTTTGTGTCCAGAGTGTTTAACAACTCCAGGTCGATCCGGTGTCCTCTCTGAACTCCCTGTGTGATTTGTAGTCTTACACCTGCGTGCGGTTTCTTACACTTGGATGTCCAGCATGATCCTCTTGTCCTCTTCCACGTGGATGCCCCAGATGCAGTCCTGACCCTTGTCGTAGGCCTCGGGCCAATTAGGAGACAGCACCACGCCGGCAGAGTCCGTGATCTCCCCGCTGCACACAGCTGCAACACACAACCCCTCAGGTTCACACTGAGACACAACTGCTAAAGGATTTCATCACACAGAAACCTTTGATTAAAATGTAACATGATTTGGAAAGCAAAGTAAATTTCAAATTGTTAGGTTAGAAACTAGCACTTTCTATGAAGCCCATGCCCTAAATATACTTGTTAAGACATTAAAATGTGGTTATAGCACTGTATAACTGTCCAAAATAAACACATACAAATATAAAATGCTTTATGATGAGCAAACATCAAACATTTAAAAAAAAATTATAATGACGTATCATTTAAAAAATCCTAACACTTAATAATTGCTGGTCATTCAGAAAAACTGTTTAATCTCCGTGTAATATGAATTCATAATTGTTATACATTATAAACATTTCATTATGCATTCCATTTAAGACTAAGTGGTGTTGCTTTTAATTGAATACATTTCATGAGCTTGTGTTTTTTTTATTCACTTTCTTTAACAAACTGACCATTTCTAGTGACCTAATCACATTTTATTGCATTATTACAGTGAATATAATTCATTTTATGTTAAATATCTGTTTATAAGTGCTTAACTATAAATATACAGCTAAGTAGATTATAATGCACTCCAAGTATGTCTAAAATGTACTAGAGGCATGGCTAGAATATTGCAAGTTTAAAGTATGTTGAATGAATGTGACTTTAAAGAATGGAACCATGCTTTTCACGCTTAATAAAAGGCATCTGCAATTGAGGGTGCAGACTCCTTGACGTGAACCTTGTAAAACTGCATACTAGCAACAAAGTGCTTGATGACCATGACCCACAGGAGCAGACATTAAATGTACTCATATCTAGCTTTCCAGTGTTGCAGAAGGCAACAAAGGCCAAGAGTGAGAGGCGTGTGTGTGTGTGTGTGTTGTGTGTGTGTGTGTGTGTGTGTGTGTGTGTGTGTGTGTGTGTGTGTGTGTGTGTGTGTGTGTGTGTGTGTGTGTGTGTGTGTGTGTGTGTGTGTGTGTGTGTGTGTGTGTGTGTGTGTGTGTGTGTGTGTGTGTGTGTGTGTGTGTGTGTGTGTGTGTGTGTGTGTGTGTGTGTGTGTGTTACACACACACATACACACAGACAGACGGGAAAGTGCTCAGGGGTAGCTATTAAGTCTAGTGCGTACAGTATATGCAGTGTGGTATTTTTCATTCTAGGCCATCTATTGTATTCCTTTTTAATCTTAAGCACTTCTAGAGTCCGCCCTGGAAGCGCATATATCAAAGTTAATCATTGTAACCATTTTAAGGGGAAATGTATCATGGATCAGAGAAAAGCAGCTTATACAGATACAGTTAACTTCCAGTGGTCTTTAATATTTCAAGAAAAAGTATTCCCTAGCTGCTGCATTGATCAAGCAGACAATGAAAGCTGGGGGTCTACAGGTCAGTCATATCTGCCTCTGAATTCCGCTCCAGTCGAAGCACATTTTTGAAAATATTTCTTTTATCGCACAATTACTCAAGCAGATGAAATCGGGTGACCCACCTCGACATGCCGGCTCCGTCTCATTCCACTGTGGGTTTTGTGCGTCCACACACTCGATCACTACCGAGCCTTGCTCCAGCGTGTAGCCGGGGTCGCACGAGAACTCCACCACTGTACCCAGACCGTAGGCGGAGTCGCTGCCGCTGAAGTTCCCGTACTTCACAAAGGGCTCATAGCACATACCTTTGGCAAAAGCTGTCGACAAAAAAATCAAATACCTGGCATCAAACATAACAAACAAGATTTTGATTTGTCAGGATTTGTTATATATTTCATTACTTTGTGGATTTTAATCGAATGTACATGCTTTGTACAGTATCACTGCTTTTGTGGAAAAAAACTGGGAAAATCAATGAAGATATACAAAAACAAAACATAAACAAAGAATGGGTTACTATTTGCAAACAGCATGATCAACCTGCCTTCATATCTGACGGCTGCTCCAGTGGAGGTCAATGTCCCGTCTGTGGTGAACTCTATAAACAGGTAACGTCCGGTACTGAGCACACCCTCATTGGGCAAATACTCAACCTTGTAGGAGTCGTACACTGGGGGGGAGTCTATGTTGTTGCCATTCTTAATCAGCAGCCTGAGAAACACACACACAGAGAAGGAAAACAGTTTAAAATGGATTTAACTGAGCCTTGAAAGGTAAGAGAATCACAAAAAAAGAGAAGTTACAAGCTCTCCGAGAGCTGCTCACTCTTCCAGTTGTGGCTGTAATAACTTTGTGATAACTTTCTCCCCCGCTCGGTAATGAAGTGAATGGCCATGTGTGACGATAGCCATGTGGATCAGTAGTTACTGGAGACAAATGTAATGCGATTGCTGTTTCCTTCCCCTCACCACCCCTGTGCAGTCCCTTCAATGCATCCGCTTGATAGAACACTGTTAAAGGATTATAATGATAGAAAGCCCTTTCAAATTCATCTGTTGTTCCCTAAAGATTTTGATTATTTATAGCCATTGGTCTAACCGCAGCCATACAGAAATTGAGTTTAAAGCTCAGTGCCATCTACAAGCTGAGGACATAAACATTCAAACTGTACACACTGATTGATTTATTTTATTCAATGTGTGTACACTACCTGTCATCATCCTCTGCCAGAGCCACCTTCTCAAAGTGGATGTGGAGCCGCTGGCCTTCAGGGGCCTCAAGGACCCAGTGGCACGTCAGGTTGTTGCTGTAGTTGCCAGGGAAACCGGGAGAGACGATACGACCATAGGTGGCGTTTTTGATCATCCCCCCACAGGATGCTGTATGAGAAGAAAGAGGGAGAAGACAAAGAGTTGGAGGGACAAGATGAGAAAAGTATTGACACCATCGATGGCGGGGGAGGGGGGTTTGGAGAAAAGTACTAGTCTGAGCTTTGATTGCATCAAAATCCAGCGGACTGTGGCTGGACTGCACTAGGCGGCTCACCTGGGTCTCAGAGTGTGTGCCTGTGTGTGATGTACTTGTAAAGAGAACAGCAGCAGAAACACTATCAGTCCGGAGCAGCTGAAGGCAGGCAGAAGGAGAAAGGCTGGAACTGGCAGATGAGTCTTTACCAGCAGGAGAAGGATAGTCATGCAGCCCAGTTCTAATTACAGCAGCCAGGTCCAATGGCCTTGTTTTGCATCCATTTCCAAAGACTAGCTCTGTGGGCTGCTAATCACATGCAAACACACTCATTTGCCCTCACAGTGTAACTAATCAACGCAGTAGGAGACAACCAAGTGAAAGGCTGCGTTAATCAAAATCACCTGGATTCTGGAGGAAAGCTTACAATAAAGCTCAAATGTTTAAGTTTGGTCATTTATTGTCAAGAAGTTTGGTGCTATCTTTGAAACCATAAGTTAATTATGCAAAACTCAATACACTACCCACACAACTTTAGCAGCAAAACATTATACATCTCTTGCAAAAGCAATGAAATATTACAAAATACTTCTTTTTATATGGGTGTTTGCCTCAACTCCCACATACCATTAACCATTCATTTAACCACACATACTGTAAGTGCACTAAAGCACTTGCTTTATTGTGTGCAGGGCATAACAATTTGAAATAGATTTCTTATACATGTAAAGCTGTGTGTTCTGAGTATAACTCACTCTCAATACAAATAAGGAGTGTTATTATTCCTCTCAAAATGTTCTTAATCTCCTAAAGTAAATGATCGTGCAATCTTTGTTGGCACAGCCATTAGAGCCTTCATCCACATCCCACAGGTAATGGTTTGGGTTTATGGAAATGCGAATGGAAAAATAGTGCAGCAATGTGGAGACCAATGCTTCTAGTTTTCCTAGAAGTGTGTCATTTCATTGCAAACTGAGTGCAAAGCAAAAATGCATTCATTCAATTTGGCAGGTGTAAATGGTTTCTCGGATAGTGCTCAAAGAATCTCTGAGCAGTCAGCGTTCAGAAAAAAAGGACCAACAGTTCTAGAAATGTAGCTCTGTATATGTATACCACCGTGTCCCAAATGTGTGTCTAACCAGTTTGTCTTACCCACACATCGGGGCTCCTTTCCACTCCAGTAAGGCGTGGTTGCATTGCGGCAGGTGAGCATTTTGGGGCCTTGCAGCTTGTAGCCGGTGAAGCAGCTGAAGAAGGCTTCTCCTCCAGCGTGGAGGTGCGTCACAGAAACTTCTCCTCCGGCAGGCTCTTTGGGGAACGCACAGCTCAGCACAAAGGCTGCAGAAAAAAGAGTCAGAAAAGTAGAGAAGAAGAGAAAAGGCAAATAATAATTAATAAAATACAATGAGAAAATGTTTTCCTGTGATATAGTTTGCATCTTGTGGCCCATAATGGACCTCTAAAACAAACCAATTACATTCTGATAAGCAATGTATACATGTCAATATTATGTATTTATTGTATGACAGTTTTCATACATTTTGGGCGTAACATGCTGCAGATTGGACAGCCCATATAATGTTGGACTAACACGTTATCGCTAAAATACAATTGAATTACATCAAACTTTGATTATTTTTGATTACTTTTAGCTCTGCCAGAAAACTGAACTTCATGTATGTTTTGATGATGAAACACACATCAAGAGTCCCACCTAACATTTATGAAAATATAACAAATATTTTGCCGGCATCTTGGAGCATGTGGGAGATTTTCAATAAAAATGATAAAACTAAGATTTGTAATATGTATATATGTTAAATGTTTTATTCTCAACAAAAGTCAAATTCTAGCCTAAACAAACAGCCAACAATGTTAACAGACATAACCCCCTATCCTACATTGTGTTACCGCTGCTGTTGTGCTGCATTGTTGTCCGTGTTGTCTCTTCACCCATACAGTACGCATTTAGATATATTTGTGGAAACAAAAATTGTTTTACCATTCCTATATGCCTGACCATCACACACACCCCTATACACACACACACACACACTTAGGTTTATAACCATCCTTCAAATGTGTTTATTATCACCCCCAGCTCCTAATTAATTGCAGTTTACATGTTCATGCAGTATGCCAATGTTCACAGACAACAATGCAGCACTACAGTAATCAACACCACCGTGCACAGCCACTGCAAACACTTTTGACAAATGGAAATGCTGCTGATCAGTGGAACATCATAGGCCTGTAATGTGATAGCTAGAACAAGAATTGCCTGTGTTGTGGTTGTCAAAGAGTTGTGAATCCAGCAGGGTAAGATCAATGTTCCTGGACTTGTTTTGCATTGTGATCCTGTCCTGGTTTTTTAAATAAATGGTGTAGGATGAGATGGAGTTCACTTGGATAATGGAGTAAGCTAACCAAGTCTGTAATGGAAGCTATTAAACAGCCTTCTCGTCCTGTCTTAACAGCCACACTGTTCTACCTCATTAGTATAGGCACTTTAATGACCAGACTAAAACTTTTAAACTCACGGAAACTGTGTGAACAACAAAAAAAGCACCATAATTGGACCCACTAAAGCCTGTGTTACATCAGTGTTTTTGAACCCTGGGAAAATTGCAAAAAGCTTTTAAAAGCTGCAACGTTAGTCTAACTTTTTCCATGTTCCAACTGAACATAGTGTATGCAAGCCATCTTTAGAGTATAGGGAGGGAAAAAAACACTAATAGGGCAAGCTGAAAAACCAGTATGCTCTAATATTGTACTTATAATCTTAAAAGCCTTTATGATGATAATTGAGAATGGGCTATGTCAGGGGTGTCAAACTCAAGGCCCGGGGGCCAAATATATATATATATATATATATATATATATATATATATATATATATATATATATATGTAATATAATACATATATATATTCAATATTTATATATGTATTTTTATATAGTCTTAAAGTAACAACCGGCCCTTTGAGTGCAACCATAGTGCTGATGTGGCCCGTGTTGAAATTGAGTTTGACACCCCTGGGCTATGTAGTGTAAATACATTAATCTACCTATGCTATAATGATTAAGGTTATACGTTGTGAAGATGTGGACTACTGGAAATTAAAATAATCCCTATTAGGTTTTATGAGGTTTACCCTTTCCTGTGGTGTGTTTTATACGTTTTTGTGCATGTAAATAGTCTACAAAGGCGAAAATCCCAAAGTTCCCTTCAGAGGAATTTTCTCTCCAACACTATATATTACTGCAAAATGCGCCTTTATTAGCATGAACGAAAGTCCTACAATTGCAACATCAGTATCCAAATTGTAAGCTGGTAACCCTAACCCTAACCCTTGTAAGCTGGTTTATCACTGGGTATTTGCTATGGTGCATAACACGAAACATAGCAAAAGAAAAGATTCAAATTAAATAATGCATCTAAATATTAAATGATAGAAAAGAAAGTGCAATTAAATTATTCCATAGTGCTGTGCATGTGAGAAGAATATCAACAACTAGACATTGACATAATCCATGTCAGTGGTGATCCATGGCCAATGAGGATGAAAAAAACATATTTACTAAGGATTTCAAAAGTCACATCAAACATGATTTTTGGCTTGGTGGTTTAGAACATGGTTGACCAAATCTGAATTACCATGATAAAGTAAGCACCAACTGTTCAACCATTTTGATGGAGCTTCCATGTTAAAACAGCTAAGCATCAAACAATTAGGGCTTGATCAGCAGCCACATGAAAAAAGATAAATCTGACAACGTGAATACTTTAATATATTTGGTTCCTGAGGTCTTTACATGCGCTGATGCAGAGCTATTGGAGGTTAAACGGCACCAAAAAAAGATGAAACACTTTGCAGCAGTTTGTATTTGGAGTACTTTAATTCCTTCTGGTCATTTAAAGATGAAAAACAACCCTTTAGTGATGTTTCTAGCCTTACCTTGAAGCTAAATTGGATACTTATAATGTTATTTTATCCATCTTTGAACTTGACCTAAAGGGAAAAAAGCCCTAAACACATAATGGGCATAAAAGCTTGTAACGCAGCCCCTCCTCTAGTATTTTTCACACTCACTTTTTTTTTTTTCTCTTACAAAAGTCACTGGGTTCCACCATAATAAAAGAGGTCTTTCTTTTTGCACTAAATCAGTGAGCCACAGGGACGAGGTGCGCTGCCCCCGGGTCATCCATTCACTTCACAGTTTATCACTAGCTCCAATGAACCTAGTTATTGCCATTATCATAGCAGCATTTACATCCCTATTGAGCATGCAGCGGGAGAGCCAGAGGCAACAATTGTAGAGCCAATTCCTGAAGTATTAAATGACGTGCGGTCCCGTTCCCGTAGATGTGGTGCTGGGCCATAAAGTCTGATTGTTTTGCCATTACGAATAATAGATTCACGGTGCAGACAGCCATGAAGATTAGCTGGTACTGTGGGGCCACAGGAAACACATGGGTCTTTGGTTATTGTTTCCTTTTAGAGGAGAGGATAAAGTCATATTGGAAATATGCAGGTAAACCTTCCGTTTTATAGCGTGACTGGTATGGACCAGTCACAGACATCATTCTCGAGATGAAGAAAGGTATTATGGTTCAAAATAAGGAGACAATGGTGACATTAAAGTCTGACACCATCTCACTGTCTCACAATCATCCTTTATAAGTTCTTTTAAAATAGGTATCCAAAGAAAGAAGAAGACAGGGGCAAAAATAGAAGCAAGCTTTTGGGATTTAAATGGCACGGTTTGAAGTGAGAATGGTTCAAATTAGGTTTTATGTGCGGCTTGTCATAATCAATACATATTCATCAGGCATCAGAACATTGGGTAAATGATTTTTTTTCACTCTATTTTTGTCATTTCTCGATGCTTGTTCAAAAAGTTCAAGTCCCCAGTGTGCTTTCTTTCTTTTTCTCTGTGCAACGGCAATGGAATTGTCCTGTTTTTTAATATACTGTAACACATTTCTGTTTATATTGCTTATATCTTGAATTCAAGTTGTTTTGTTGTTGTCACAAATATGGAGTTCTGAATGTGTATTTCGGATCCAATAATTATTTATTGTTTCTCAACTAAAATCATTTACATAGAAAGTAAACACTCGCACACTCCACACAATAATGAGCCTTATTCTGCTGTTTGCACAGTTTTCATTTGCCAAATTGAGAACGCTGCTGCTCTACCAATAATGGACAACCATTGTCGACTAGGGCACAATAGATGAGGTGGAGAAGGCAGTTAAACTAAGTAATCCACCGCGTTTGGACAAACAAATAAAATGCAAGTCAATTTAGGGCTAATAGACTGCTGCACTGTTGTATTCCAAGCCTGAATCCCTCCAGGTAAAGAGCTGGAATGAGATCAAACTTGGCAAGGCGAGGGCAGGAGATAATGAAATAGTGTGACAGAAAACAGAGCATGAATAATGAATGTAATGTCGATTTTTATTATATTTAATGCCAGTGTGTTTGGAGAATATTATCTGCCATGTTACAACAACAATTTGGGAGTAAAATGGGTTTTCCAAAAGGAGAGAAAATCCTGTGCTATTATGCAGTCATCTCCAGTCAGCTGTTTTGCTGGAGATGCAGTTATCAGGTGACTTGTTTTCACTGTATCCAAGCCCCATGTTCTGGCTGTGCACCAAAGCATTACCTTTAACAGAAAGATCAATAGTGTTGTCTCTGGGAAAGTGATTCAGTTGTAGAAAGCCATAGCATAGTGCTGCCATGATATGGCCTATTGACATTTATGTGGTTGGGTTGAAAACTTGATTTAAATGGTCATTTACTCAATAAAGGCTATTAAAGAGAAATAACTTTGGACCAGAGGCTGCATCTCATTATTGCTACTGAGAAGTTGTGGCAAATCGGTGGACCGCTGCCATTGGCCGAGCTCCACCGGCCAACCCAGCTTATTAGTTCCAGTCAATCAATAACTCCTGTAAAGCATCACAGCCATTGGCAATGCCATCGATATATGATGTACTTGACCAAATCCTGCAGTGACAATGATATGATGGCAATTCAATGACAAAGGAGTTGAATTCCATCATCATTTTAATTCCATTTCAAATGAAGGACCAATTGGGAGTATAATTTGCCTTGGGTTGTCCATATTTGCATGCAAGTACCGACAATGCTCATCAATAGAAATGAGTTATTTTTGTAATGAAATGACAGCATTTTTGTACTCCTCTGTGAAGAAAGTCTGAATATAGCTTTTATTGGTTTACCGATAATTAGTTTGATCATTTGGGTGCTGTTAGGGAATAATTCTCATAGACTCCTAGATATCTAACCTTTTTGCCCTTTGACGTGTATGACCAACCCTGACGTCTGTTATCTCCTTTAAGGAAATGGGCTGCTTCAGCCATAATGTTGTTGTTCCCATTCTATGACCGGGCAACTCTAGGTCACAGATGGTTTATTGTTGTGGGTACACTGGGACACTTCCTTCTCTGTGTTTGTGGACTCCAAGTTGTGAAATCTTCGAGGCCATAAGTGTCAGACGGAAGTGACTCAGTGTTCCCAACTGTTTAGGCTATCTTCTCAAAATATGTTGATTACTCTCTGTGAAACCAGTTAACAGATCTAGTAAGAGAGAGGCGCTCCAGAATTGATGTGGCAACTCTCCTGTGCAGTCAGAACCTGGCTGCTATGACTTGTGGTGTGAATCCTCCGGCCGATACTCGTAATAAACCATCAGTGTTTGACATCAAAGCTCCAACTCTCCTCTTGTCTCTCTGAGTCCTGACTCTCCATTGCTACAGAAGTTTCCCTTACAGGTGCCAATACTTTAAGATGAAGTAGTCTGTCAACATGCTTGCATCAATAATTGCAATGAATGATCCTTATAAAGAGGCATCATTTTAAAAAGTATATATATATTGCCTCAACCCATTGTTAATTGTGTCACAAAATAAAACGGTGTCATATATAGTGAAGAGTAAGCCAGGCCTGAATGCCATTAACAATTGTTGACAATAATAAATGATCAACCCAGTGTGAATAACATCACTGTTTATTTGTTTGTTCTCTGGGGAAATGAAATACAGATACAAAAGTAAATACATAGAAGCACTTGTCTGCATATTTACCCCCAACAAATACATGTGATACAATTATTCTCGTTGTGTGCTGATATATAATGAAAAGTTATTGCAAGTAATTGTCCAACTGATCTGAACAAAATAACAGTTGCAGAAACAGGTTATTCAATTATAAAATGTTACCTTTATATTTTAAGGTAATAATGCATCAAATCGCAAGCACGCACCAAGACAGGCCAAGAATCTTCACGTTTGTTTGATAGAAAAACATATGATTTAATACAGCAAATATTCCTGCATTTCTTTGTTTGATACTACACTTATTTTATATGGTTATGTTTTGCTCGCTAATATTATAAGGTTTGTAAGAGTTCATGTGTGTATTTTTTTACTTTTTGTGTCTTTTGGGTGTGTTTCTTATAAAAGCCATTACAAACACAACAGTCACAACATTACACTATATTTACATAACACAGTTTTTATGTGAAACATAATTTATGTTGCATGCATGGTTTGTTGTTAGATTCATGCACCGTTGGTTGTTTTCTTGTTCAAATGCTGTAGCTGCAGAAGATGTCTCTGTGGACATTGTTGTTGAATACAAAGAATGCTTCATGTAGATGAGAATCTGAAGAAAAGACAAGGTAATGAATAAGGATGTGGTATGCTTCCCTCCTTTCCAATAGTCCTACTTGGGACTCCATGCATATAAACAGTAAAACACCCCTATAATCATGTTCCGAGTGTTAGGCCCACTGCTGGTGTTATAGTGTGTAGAGGCATCCATCAATCTGCCATGGCAGGCCGAGCCAGCGCTGGAACAGATATTAATTACCCTGAGCTCAGATCCATCTCTGCACAGTTCTGTCCCCTTCTCCACGCTTGTCCAATCACATTTCTCACAGCCTATTATACAGACAAGGTGATACTCTGCTCACCAAGGGGAGAGGAGCACAAATTGAAATATCTTCTGCGTATCCAATATGTCTACTCTTCCAGAAAATCTGCTCATTGCATTTCTTCTCATTACTGTATCGAAATTGATATCAACTTTGAAGGCGATTGATTGGTGGAACATCACACATTTGCCTGCAGGCTGACAACACACGGTTATAGGTTCAGAATTATTCAAATGAAAAAGTGCTGAGGAATATACAGTAGACACAATTATTTAAAGGTTGTATGTTAAGTTAAAGTGAAATATGGTATTCTTTTTATAAAATAATTCATTTTGAAATTCATTAGAAGTATTGAAAAGTGCATGATAGGACTCCGGCAGCAAACTCCAGGTCGGAAAACGTAAACTCATTTCTCTTTAATATCCAGCAAGGGGCGACCAAAGGGAGTCTTGATGTATGTACATCTATGAAATAATGATCAGCATTACCTAATTAAACATGTTCCTATTGAGTTCATAGTCTCAATTGATAGTTTCAAGTCTTAATAGAGCAGGACTTTTATTCTGTAAATTATGGTCACATTTAAAGTAATTTACATGAAAAAATCAGTTATTGACAGGTCGCGACCATGGTGATGTCTGGTTTGGGAGATATTGCTGTTTTTGTCTTAGAACTCTACCTCATTCATAGTGTGTTTCTGGTTCATTGAAGATAATAATACCGTTTTAGTTGCCTTTAAATGTATTGTTTATAATTTAGCCTTTAATCACTAAGTCCCACAAATACAAAACATGTGGCTTCAAAAGCACATAATATATATTTCAATAGTTTAACAATAGACAAGCTTTAATTTAAGTGAATCAGATATGGTGAACTTGATGTGAATTATTTTGCGGCTCTGTTTGAATTCTGTGTTGTAATGTACTGACAGCTGATATTTCAGGAGCAAACATTTAGCATGTTAACCAATACTTTGGCTCTATTCATGATACATACCTGAATAAGTCTCAGCTCAGAAATTACTTTGTTTAATTTCAGGGTGTATATCATTACAGCTTGTATCATTATCTCAAGTGAGTGTGAACCTGCACACATGCATGCACAATATTCTAGTTGTGTGCCTTCTCTTGGTTTTGAGCTTATTCTAGATATGATGTTTGATTCGGACATATGGAACCACTCAATAATTCATATCCCTTAAGAAGTGTTGTGAGCAAATGCAACATCATGGGTCTCAAAATAAGTAGCAGCCAGCATTTTCAAAATGAAGGGCATCAGCACTCTGTATAGTGTCACAAAGTCTTCCTGGAGAGCCTTTTTGGCATTAGCTGCATACTACTATTAAAACATTATGTATTGTCTTGTGCTTTTGGGCAATTAAGTATAGTGATATTAACACCCATATGTTTATTTTGGATGCTTCCTTTCCACTTTCCAACATAATCGCCCAAAACAACCTTTTTGCTTGTTTTGCTACTCTTGACAATTCCAAAGAAAGGCACACGGTATTTTCATCAATAAACCTGGTAAACACTGGATGCAATTCTGCTGAGTATGTCAAGAGAAGGAGAAACGCATTAGAACTGACAGCGTAATATATTTCCTCCATTTGTAACCATGTGTCCCCATCTATGCACCACCCTGTATGATCAGCACTGACCTCTCACTGTCATCATTTCAGCCTGACCACACAGCAATATTCACACGTCCAACAGCGACAGGCTGATTTATCACACGTCAGCGGCACTGTTTTGATGGTCGCTTTCATTTTCGAGCTGATGAAAGTGCCACAGTAATGTGGTGGAATGAATGTTTTGTCCACCAGCATCCACCATGAACTCAAATCGATGGGGCATGTAATTGCTGGCCACTTTGTGTGATTGCTAAGATAAACAGACATTGTTGCGGACATGGGAGATCAGTGTCACACACGAAACAAAAGACAGAGGGGATGGACTTATGGGCCATAATATTCACCCACAACATACAGTAACCATATCTGCTGTTGATTCTGGCGCACAATATCATCAGCACTCACAAAACATTTGAATGTGTTGATATCAATGGTAAAGCTATCTTCTCTTCTGTCATAGAGTTCAGATTAAGTGGCAATCTCCTGGTCTGAAAAATGAAGCAACTCCAATGGTTGCAAATAGATCAATTATATAGAAGTATATGACAAAATAACCCTTACTTCTCAGTCGATTTATTGCCTTTGTTTATATTTTCCTATTAAGTGTATGGTCTCAATCGCTAGTTTCAAGTCTTTGTCCATACAGCATGATTAATGATGGTCCCATTAAGAGTACAATAGAGGATAAAGTAGGATATGCATTGTTGGTACTGTATGTGTTACTGGTATTTTTCAGTTTGGCCACATATTGCATCTATTTAAAAAGGACATCATTTCTGCAAACTGGGTTAAGCGCAGTTCAAGGCAATTGTTATCGGTCTAAAAGAATACAAGAAGAGCGTTTTTCTCCTACATCAAAATGAAAATGGGTTCAGCCAGAGAAAAAGCCTATCCAAGATGGTACTGACTCACCTTGGTAATGGAGCAGGAGTAACATGGAGTTGCGCTGTTTGTCACCACGAAATCTGATGGAGATTTGGTTGCTCCAGCTGCGGAGCACGAGGCCTCTCATCAACACCGACTCATTGGCAAGGATGAAGGGTTCCCGGCCACCCGTGTCCTCCACTATCACCTGCTCCCCCTCCAACACACTCACATTCAGCACCTGAAAAAAAAAAGAGACATTGGATTACATTCTTGTCTTTATCGCTGTACCTTTGTGTCACATATGCTATCATGCAAGAAAACAGTTCATGGCTGACTTATTGCAAAGGGGTCTTTGAAGAGTCACACTTTGCACAAAGGTAACAGGCTGTGCATTGTATTTCTAGCACTGTAAGAATGAGCACATTTATTTCCGTCCACTCTATGAAAAAAAACTAAAAGAACATTTCATACACTTTTAACTCCATCATTACACCCAAAAATCCCATTGCACACAAACATGGTGACTAACTGTTGACTTACGAGGTCTCAGTTTACACCAGATGGGATCTTAATTTAGCACCCCCGCTTGTTATCCCATTTAAAGCCAGGTTTAGTCTAATGATGATGTTGCTCTGAAAAATGGGTCACCTGCTGTGTTACTTTGCTCAGTTGTCTACCGAAGCAGTAGCACAGGGATCTGTTTGGTTTAGTCATTTCTTTGTTAACCTGCTCCGGGATTGTAGACACGTTCTTGAGTAATTGTAGAATCTGTCTGGGTCATTCTACTCATGATTGATTCATCCCCTTTCGGTGTTCGCCTTGTGCCTGTAAGCCACTCTGACAGCAGTGCTTTATGTCTTCAACAGGTTTGAACAGCATCTGCAGCTAAATCTGGTGAAGGAACCTCGGGAGGATTTGACGTTGTTAAACTGTCTGGATAATGGAGCACTGACATATTTTGGAACAGCATTTGATTCATTCCCCAACAGAACGATAAGAGGCATGTTAATCCAGCAGAAGGTCATGGTCATTATGCATGATAGATATAGAAAGAAACGTTCACCTTCACTTGAGTTGGCACAATAGTTTGTTCTGACTCGCTTCTTTCAAGGTGCATGATATGTATTACCTTGTGTTTGCATGGCACTCTTGAATAACAATATGGTTTAAAACATTTTTAGTTTGGAGTTAACCAAGGTTTTAATCTTTTTACTAAATTCAAATCATTTGGAATTCTTTAACATTTTATTCAGAATGATTGAAAGCCTGTTATTGTTGCACTAAAGTGTGCACAAACACTACCCGCCCGCCGCCCCCCTGAAACACACTTTGATAAAGACAAGCAGCGTCTCTGTTATGAAAGTAAAACAAATGCAGACCTTTTCTTAAACTTGCATTCTTTCTCATGACCAGCAGGAGGCGACTACACAGGTTGCAGGAACAAATCTGAATGTATAGAAGTCTATAAGATAATGATACTGCTTATGTAATGTATTACCTCAGTAAATATATTTTTAAATACAATATTGAGCTTAAACACTAGTTTAAAGTCCACTTCAATTGAGTATGATGATCATTTTGTAAACTATGGTGCCATTTGTAGTGAAAAATATCCTAAAGCAAGGAATGCTTAATTGAAATGGCTTCCTTGTGATTGACAGGTCAAATCCAAGATTGTATTCAGGTCTCGGTACTGTTGTTTTTTGTCTGAGAATATTAATCGTTTTAAATTGTGTTTTTAATTCATGAATGTTATTTTTTAACAGTTTTCAAGCCATGAGTTTAACTTTTTTGGGCAATTATCGTCTTGGTTTGAGGCTGTTGCAATCTTTGAATGTGTGCAACCAGAAATGACACGAGAGGCTGGAGCTAAGTACAATTGAATACTAAACAAGACATTTTTAGGAGTCAAAAATGTCTTGAAAAGCCAAAACCAAGATGATAATTGCCAAAAAAGTTAAACTCATGCTCAAAACTGTAGTCTTCAAATCAATGGGTGACATCACAATTACTACCTCCACCTCAGATAAACCGTTTATGGTTAAAGATGACTTAACCTCAAAACAAATGGCAATCAAATAACTTAATATTGAGATTGCCAAATAACTTAATATCAACAAATAGCTTAATGTTTTGGGCCTTTGCTACTAAAAAGAGAGGAGGCAACAGCTGCCCAATCTGATGATTTGGAGTGGAGCCAGCTCCTGTCTTGAATGACAAGTGCACCATCAAAGCCAAATCAACCACATCTCAAGCTCTCAGTGAAATACATAACGTGTTCTAAAAGCTAATGCTGTCACCGGTGGTGGGCTTAGGTCTTAGGTATGCCATGAGGCAGAAAAAGTGTTGCCGGCCCTCCATAGGCTGCTGTCCCTGAGGTAATATGTGTGCAGGAGTTTTAGTGCAACAGCCTGGAAAAGCTGAGACAGTGGGCAGGGTGCACGACGGCAGCAGGAAAAGGAATTTGGCCGGGTTGGCTGTCACTCAAAGTGAAAGGAGAGCTGGCAATGAGTGCAGAGGCTAATGGACACTGAGACTGAGCTTAGAGGTGACTTCATCCTGAATCATCTGTGAGCTCAGCCACTTTGATTGATTTGATTTTTATCACAAGCAGAATTGAACACAAGTCTAGGAGGTTTCAGCCAAAGTGAGAAAAAAAGACAAACACTACATAAAAATAGACAAATATTTGCTTGTGTGTTTCAAAATCACCTGTGCATGTTTGAAATGCAAACGCTGTGCATCTTAGCTTACATTGGTAATTTGTTGCAGTAACCTTTAACAACATAAAGGCATGCCACAGGATTTTAGAATCCCCCGTTTCTCTCTTTCTCAAGGGCATCGCCAATGACAAAGCCTTAGGCACAGATCTCTTTTTTTCCATTACTGCCTCTCTGTCTCTGAGTTGTTATGGAGGGCTTGGGTGTTTTGCAAATCAGGTTACTTCAGCTACTTGCGTATCTTATAACTTCATTTTGACCCCCACAGCACAGTACAGTAATTCTCCTTCAATTTAACATCCATTCTCATATATTCAAGTTATGACATGATAGCGTTGACAATGTGGAATTGCAATATTGCTAACAACAGAGGTAACTTGATAAAAAAAACAAATAGAGCCTATAATTTCCTTCATCTCTGAAATGTATTCTTAAATTATTATTCAAATATGTGTTTGCTTTGTCTCCACCATTGTGTAAAGCTGGTTGGAGATGAGAAATGGCTAGTTGATGAGAAACTCAAAAATGTATAATTCAAGCATATTTCCAAAAAGAAAAAAGAAGACTAGAAATCAAAATGACCTTCTTCCTTGAGCATTCGGTGGAACTGATGGAAAGTATATTTTTCTTGCTCAATCCACTCTCCCCTATACCCAATCCAAGTCAATCTTTTTGCCTGTTCTAATAATCAGATACTAGATATCTCAACATACATAACATGGAAGGAAAATAAATCTGATCTTGCCATTTCTACCAGCCATTGTATCCATTAATCTTTAGCTTTTTTCAACTCAACAAAATAATTGTTGTATCCTGTTTTTTACAATAACTGTCTCCAACAGATATAAACATACATACTGTATAGCCACGTATGCTCTCTGTTGTGCATTGAGTCAAAAATGCACAGCTGAATTATTAAATCACTTTGCTCCACATAAATGTTTCTGTTACTGTACATAACCTATTTATATGAATTCAAAAATATAATGTTATGTAAAATGTTCTCTTTGATGCTTTGGTCCTTTCTTTGTTCTTTTCCAGAACGTAGAGATTGTGACTAAGGAAACTCTCTAGAAAATAAAGTATATCATTCTTAATTTCAGTGAAAAAGTTCCTATATTTCATTTTAGACTTTGATTGTGATTTTCCTTCTTGCTAAATTAACCAAAAGTTATCAGTAAACATCACATAGGTGTGTATGGCATTGTGTTATTTCTAATGCATGGTACGCACTTTGATATTGCAACAACAGATATGATCATATCCAGTGAGGCTAGACAGGTAGTTGGTCTTTCACCTCTAGGTTTACATACACCAGGGCTGCTCATGAAGGACAGGTGAGCAGATGGTGGACAGTGAGCACTCGGAGTGATAGATAGTTTGTCCCCACAGGGCCCTATCATCTGTCATCCACCCTGGGACCGTCAGTGCAGCCAGCAACAGCTGTCCTGCCTCAATTATGAATCATTGGCCATGTCAGGAGAAATCACACTACCTTATCCTCACCAGTGCTGGAGCCAAATCCCCAGAGGGCCTCTTTCTTTCAGTCTCTCACACGCACGCACGCACGCACGCACGCACGCACGCACGCACGCACGCACGCACGCACGCACGCACGCACGCACGCACGCACGCACGCACGCACGCACGCACGCACGCACGCACGCACGCACGCACGCACGCACGCACGCACGCACGCACGCACGCACGCACGCACGCACGCACGCACGCACGCACGCACGCACACACACACACACACACACACACACACACACACACACACACACACACACACACACACACACACACACACACACACACACACACACACACACACACACACACACACACACACACACACACACACACACACACACACACACACAGAAACGTGTGCATGTTCCTCTGGACTGTAATGAGAGCAGGCTTAATGTAACTCCTAGCTGGAACCTCGCCTCAGCAGACATATTTGTGAGACCGGGGATTTGGCTGACCAAGCACACTTCTGCAGCAACCACAACATTATCAGAGGATGCCATCTAAACATTGTGCTGTTCCATTTCGGAAAATTGTGTTGAGAGATTAAGTATTTGTCGGGGTTTTCTTTTATCCAGGTTATTAAAATAAACTAAATAATACAATCATTAAATGTCTTTAAGTGCTCTTTCAAATACCAATCATCAACCTTTAAGCATACATTTTTCCATTCAATATAATATTTCATGAGCACCATCAAACTGAGAGGACTAAAGGGGGAGGGTCATCTCTCTCCTGTAGTCACTGTCGCTCCAATCAAAACCACTATAATGAACAAACCAAGCTGCAAGGCCAAGAATACACTGTATAAAGGTTTGAAAGGATATTAATATTTGCAGAAGTGAACCTTGATCTTGCTGTTTTTACCGGGCTTCCAGGGTGCTGCAGTGTATGAGAGTGAACAGTGAGCAGAGGGGAAGTGTCATCTTATCGCATCCAAACAGAAAGCAAGGCTAGCATGGCTTTCATCTGTTACTATTGA